CATAGTTGACTAGAATATCTATGTGTACCCCCTTACTTATTGAGCGATTTTGTTGTTGTAGGAATTGACACAAGGATGCGATTCAGCATTGAACCCTTACCAGGAAAGAATGGCTATCAGCAGGTAAAAATAGTCCAATGATTATTATGTATTATACTGCTCACTAAAAATTACCCATAATTCTTTATGATATGTACTATTGGACATTGATTTTACTAAAACTTGTTGTTGAAAAAATTTTTTGGATGCATTAATGATCTGTTATAATTGTTTTTTAAAAGTACACTTTGCAATATGTCTTCAGAATGTCAAATTTAGCTCTCAAAGTCTGGTGAAAACCATTTGTAGATGTGATAAATGTTCATTCTATTCACCTGGTAGCTAGAATGCATATTAGTTTGTTTCATCCATTCAAAAATACAACCACGTGCTGAGGGGATTTTTTTAGTTATCGAAGAATTGTTTGTCAGATTAGTACAAAACATTTAGGATTGTGGGTAATTACATGTGCTGCACTGTCCCGCCACCATAATTCAATTCAAAGTCTTGGATTAGTGTAAAAATATAAAGCAAATAATGTTGTGTTAGAAATGGTTATTATATGTCAAGAATACAATGTGCAAGTGATGGATGAGATTAAACGAGACTGTTCCACCTAAATATGTATCCCATTATGCTGTAGATGTTGGTTTAATTAGTCTATAGTAGTATACCAATGATCACAGATAGTTAGTCTTGACTTGTATTGCAATTATATTGCTGTTGTTAATTTCAGTGGTATGACGCACTCAAAGCCGTAGTACGTCTACCGAGAGGTATACCCCACGAATTCAGAAGACAAATATGGCTGTGTCTGGCAGACAATCATATCAGAAGTATCAAAGTGGACTGGGAGAAGACTGTCAAACTAGCATTCAATGAACGAAGTAATCCGGATGACGACAAGCTAGGAATTCAAATAGTAAAGGTGTGAATATGCGTAATCTGTGTTCTTGTAATTTATGTGGTTGGCTCTCAGTTGGTGTATGTTGTTGTAATCTTTTGCCTGTCTCAGCATTTTTGTAAATTTACTTATTTTGACTGCAACATTTATAATCATTTCATCACAAACAAATGTGCTACTATTAAAGCCAATATAGTACATTTTTTGTATTGTGAATTTTTTAGACTAGGAACGAAGTCTGTTATTCAATGCATGCACTAATAATGGAGACAGTTTTACTATATATTATGTGTACAATTTTTTTAACATGCTCACCAAATATTCATCCATCAGAAATATTAAAAATAATTCTTGCTATTTAATAGGATCTACATCGTACTGGTTGTAGTGGGTTTTGTGGTCAGGAAGCTGAGGAAGACAGAGTGGTATTGAAAAGGGTTTTATTAGCATATGCTCGTTGGAATAAAGCTGTTGGGTATTGTCAAGGATTTAACGTACTCGCTGCACTTATACTAGAAGTTATGCAACGTAAAGAAGATGACGCACTAAAAGTAAGACCTTGGGGCACCTTTGATCAATTCACATTTCATTCCCCATCTGTGCAGTATTTTCTCTGTTTCAAGCACAGTGCTGGTATATTATGTATGTATGATGGCTTTATAAGATATTATTTATAGCTTTTTAGTCCCCGTTCGGACGTAGTCCGAAAACAGGGACTTATGTTTTGCCCTGTGTGCGTGCGTCCGTCCGTCCGTCTGTCCGTCCGTGCGTCCGTCCGTGATCACCTGTATCTCGAACATGCATGGACCGATTAAGTTCAAACTTCACTCATACATCGCACATTATATGGGACATATGCATATGCATTTTTTTCATGATCCGATTAACGATAGCCGAATAGCGGCCATTTTAAGGCCGAAAATGCATCAAAATCACACATTTTCACCATTCCGGACCCGGATCTCAGTTATGCATGGACGGATTTCGTTCGAATTTGGTACATACAGT